CTCAAAATATTAAGATAAATTCTTTCAATCCTGAAAGCTCTGAACAGTATAATTATAAAATGTGATCTTTTTAGCTAAGGAACATTATCACTTGCTTCTAAAATACTCGAAATAGCATCCAAATTTCTTTATCTGAAGTGCTAACCCAGTGAGAGCTTAATAGCCAGGGGAAAAAAAGAATCCTAGATAGCTTCTGTCCTCTAAACCTCTTATCCTTTCATAATATTCACAGTTTTGGCATTTCATTAGTGTCTTGATTTTAGGGAGATTCTTAAAAGACAAAGGCTACAATAACCTAACTGCAAACTGCATTACTGAGTAAAGGATTAATTCAAGAGATGTTGGTTCTCATAGAATGTCTTAACTTACTGCTGAAGCAAGATACCTAATAATAGCTAAACCCTGTAACTGCAGCAGCTCGGCTAAAGCCAATACAGTTCACTATTTTTAGGAGTAGGACTTCTGAACAAAAACCATGTAAGCTAATGGTGCCATTCTCAAAAACTCAAAGAAATTACTCTTAGAATCCACACAAAAATGGAAGTAAACTATCTCCACAGCCATGAAGGCTAACTACTTCATCATGAACATGACAACTACACAGTTATGACCAAGTGCTCCATGAACAAATTTCTATACTCACTTTCCATGCATTTAATACTTATTCTTACTAAAGAACACTTCTCTTTTTAAGAAATTATTGTTCAAAGAGAGTACACAATGGTTTTGTAAGTCATTCCTCCCCTGCCCCTACCCGTTTCTAAAGCCTTCCCCTCCCACTACCAACCCCTTTAAAAGTTTTAAACTTGACTGTCATTACCTTTGCCATAACCTCGGGATCAGGATCTTCTATAGGATCGGCCCATTCAACAGTTCCAACATTTCCCCAAACCTTGACTTTACCACTCATTAACCTACGCCTTGCCTGAGCAGCTGTTTTGTGATCTTCATATTCAAGAAAGCAAAAGCCTCTGTTTTTTTTCTTGTCGTCTGGTTGATGGTATAAAATGACGTCTGTAAGACCCTCTGAAAGTAAGTAACCATTCCAGAAAAATTAGATAAAATAACAAGAACAAGTAGATCAAATGATTTATTTTTCTAATAATACATAAATATCAAAATAAAAAATAATCACTTATCTTTACAGGGGACTCTCCAGATAATTTACCTTTACACAACACTTTACAAGTATTCAAAAACATATGTGTACACGTACACATACACACACACACACACACACACACACACACGTACATACAACATGGTAAAATTAGATCTAAGGACAAATCTACTTCCATTAATGAGGCATAAAATCTTTACATAACTGCTTTAGGAAAATGGCAGTATTAATTGATATGGTTACACATTTTTCTTATCATGCAAGTAATCACCTCAATTTTCTGAAATTACTCTTTTCTAGCCTGAGATATTGATTAGCTTTATTTAAAAGGAAATAGGATATATTAGTTACTAATAATAGAATTTCAAATGTTCCTGGAGACGAATAGACTGATCATTTATTTGTTCAACATTCTAGGCAGACAAAAATGTTTTAATGAAAGCACCCTGTCATTTGGAAATGATTATAAAAACTGCTTTACAGCTCAAAGAAATAGTACAATACTGACAATGTATAATCTCTGCTTTATAGCAAGAGTATCCTATCTAATAAAAGAGAAACATGGTAATTAGCCATACCTCCACTACCCTTCCCATTGGCTAATCAGGTGATATGCAAATTAACTACCACCCAAGATGGCAGCCGGCAGCCAGGCAGCTTGAAGCGAACATGAGGCTTGCTTGCGTCAGTGATGGAGGAAGCTAACATTCCCCGCCCGCCTTGCTGGCCTCTGAGCTTGCAGTTTGAAACATTGTTACAAATATAGAAGCTAAACAAAACCCCAGAAACCTGCTTTCAGCCAGCCAGGATCTCAGAGCTGGAGTTGAAACAGTGTTTCAATTATAGAACCCAATTGATAACTGCTTTCAGCAGCTCAGAGCTAAAGCTGGCCCAGAATGAAAAAAAGAAAAAAAGCAGCGGTTGGGAGCTTCAGTCACCCACCAGCCTGAAAACAGCCCTCAGCCCCTCACCCAGACTGGCCAGGTACCCCAGCGGGGACCCCCACACTGAAGGGGATGTGATCAGTTGCAAACAGCCACCAACCCCTCACCCAGGCGGGCCAGGCACAAAAGCGGGACCCCCACCCTGATCCAGGACACCCTTCAGGGCAAACCAGCCGGCCCCCACCCATGCACCAGGCCTCTATCCTATATAGTAAAAGGGTAATATGCCTACAGCACCGGAATCAGCGGAGCCGCGTGGCCTCCCGGCACCGGGATTAGCATGACAGGGGGCAGCGGAGCTCCCCAACCCCCTAATGGGCCCTGCTCTGTGCGTGACAGGGTATGGAGCCCCAACCCCGATTGGCCCTGCTCTGTGCATGACAGGGGGTGGTGCTGCAACCTTCCCATCGACCCTGCTTTGAGTGTGACGGAGGCGGTGCCCCAACCCCCGAATTGGCCCTACCCTGAGCGTAACTAGGGGTGGCATCACAACCTCCCGATCTGCCCTGCTTGAGCATGACAGGGAGGCGGCGCCCCAACTCCCCAGTCAGCCCTGCTCTGAGCCCAACCAGAGGCTGCACCTAGGGATTGGGCCTGCCCTCTGCCACCTGGGAGTGGGCCTAAGCCAGCAGGTCATTATCTCCCGAGGGGTCCCAGACTTTGAGAGGGCACAGGCCAGGCTGAGGCCCCCCCCTCCCCCCCCCGAATACACTAATTTTTGTGCACCGCACCTCTAGTCTACACTAATAAAAGAGAAACATGCAAATTGGTGTCACTCCACTATGCTCACCAGCCAATCAGGATGACTATGCAAATTAACCCAACAAAGATGGCAGTTAATTTGCCTACACAGGCAGGGAGTGGACTGAAGGCTCCAGCTGTGAGTGAAGACTGAAGAGGCTTGGTTTCTCCCCTGCATCCGCAGCAGAAGCCTCACTGTGGCTGGAGGGGAGAAGCCTAGCCTCGAAGATTGGCTTCTCCGCTGCAGCCGGAACAAAGGCCTGGGTCCCGGGTGCTGGAGGAAAACCAGTGCCGGCAGCCAGGGGAAGGAAGGCCTATTGTGCGAATCTTCGTCCAACGGGCTTCTAGTCTATATATGCCTAAGCAACTGTTACCACCAGATGACCAGATGACCAGCTGGTAGCTATGATGCACACTGACCACCAGGGGGCAGACATTCAACAGGAGCTGCTGCTGGTGGTCAGTGCCTTCCCACAAGCTCCTGCAGCCGGCCACCCTCCTACAGTCCCTCCCCCTGGCCAGCCGGCCAGCCAGCCCTGATCAGCCCTGACTGGGACTGAGTGAGACGGCCCAATCAGTCCCAATTACCGGTCAGGCCAAGGGACCCCACCCATGCACGAATTTGTGCACCTGGCCTCCAGTTCATATAATAAAAGCCTAATATGCAAATTGTCCCCTTGACACAGAGCTCAACCAGGGGGCGGGGCCAGCTGGCCAACCGCCCACCCCCTCTCCTTCCTCCCCCCGCCCTGGGAGGAAGAGAGGCCACAGCCAGCACCAGCTAGAGACACTACCCGTGTGCAAATTTCATGCACTGGGCTTCTAGTTATTCCTATAATGTGGAAAAATCAAATCATTACACATCTAACAACCCTACTAAGAACATCAACTACCACCTAAAAATGCATACAAACTCCCAAAGAAATATAATCTTCCAAAAACAGGCTGTACAATAATGATTCTCAAGATAGTTCAAATCCCAGTTGCACTCCTTAGTAACTACTCACATTCACCAAATTATTTCCCTAAACCCTTTGTGCCTGTTTTCCTTATCTGAAAAAGCCACCTATCTCACCCTGACCAGTGTCGCTCACTGGATAGAACATTGCCCTCACAGGGAAGGGTGATGGGTTAGATTCCAGGTCAATGGCACATACCTGGGTTGCAGGTTCAATGCCCAACATGTGCAGGAGACAACCAATCGATGTGTCTCTCTCACACTGATGTTTCGCTCTCCTTCTCCCTCCTCACTCCCTTCAAAAAAAAAAATAATGGAAAAAATATCCTCTAGTGAGGATAACAAAAATAAAAATAAAATAAAAAGTTACCTATCTTATATGGTTGTAGTGAGAATACAATGAGTCAGTAAGTGTAGTGTTTAATACAGTGCTTGTCACATAGAAGTATGCATTTAGCTTCAGTATTAAAAGTTGTACCTCCTTCCAAATAAACCCAACTTACCTGTTACTTTGCTAAATTCTTCAAGAATCTGTTCCTTGGTTTTACTCTTAGGAATAGAGCCCACAAAAAGCCTATTGTTGGCAACTGAGATGCAGACACCAATGTGTTTTCCAGAACGAATTTCATGATTATTATACTGAAAGAGGAAAAAGTACACCCATTTTTAAAATACTCATAATATTCAGTAAGTGCTCATTGTAGAAAGATACGCATATCCCATACACAAATACAAAACCTTTTAAACAAATTAAAATGTCAACACTATGTTTCTCAAGTGTTTATCCTTTAAAAAGTAGTTATGCCCGACTGGCATGGCTCAGTGGTTGAGCATCAACCTATGAACCCGGAGGTCACAGGTTCGATTCCAGTCCAGGTTGTAGGCTTGATCCCCAGTATAAGGTGTGCAGGGGGCAGCTGACCAATGATTCTCTCTCATCATTGATGTTTTTATCTCTCTCTCTCTCTCCTTTCCTCTCTGAAATCAATAAAAATGTATTTATTTTGCTTAGCATAATGTTCTCCAGGTCCATCCATGCTGTTATAAAGGTAAAAGTTCTTTCATTTTTACAGCAGCATCGTATTCCATTTGAAAGATAAACCACAGTATTTTAATACACTCACCTGCTGATGGGCACTTAGGCTATTTCCAAATCTTAGCTGCTGTAAATTGTGCTATCAACAATAAAGAATTAAATATATATAATACACACACACACATATATTTTTAAAAGTTGCCATGGCCCAGCCAGTATTGCTCAGTGGTTGAATGTCGACCTATGAACCAGGAGGTCCTGGTTCGATTCTGGATCAGGGCACATGCCAGGATTTCAGGCTCAATCCCCAGTAGGGGGAGTGCAGGAGGCAGCCAATCAATGATTCTCTCTCCCTTATCATTGATGTTTCGATCTCCCTTTGCCTCTCCCTCCCTCTCTAAAATCAATAAAAATAGATATTTTTAAAAAGTTACCATGAAGGCACTGTACAAGAAATTATAATCTGAGACAGATATGAAGAGTATACTGATAAGACACAATAAACAAGTTTTAAATTAAATTAATGCAAAAAAATTGTCAAGACCTTGAAATTTAGTAAACTTGATAAACTAGGAATCAGGTCTGTAGCAACGTAAATACAAAATAGTTGATTCCAGAATCCTTTAATTTCTATTTATACTTAAACCCATCCTGCCAACCAGTTGTCCTCATGCAAGGGAAACTGATTCAAATATCAGCAAGCTTTCTGCCTCTCTATAAACCAACACCTAAATTTATTTTTCCAAACACCCCCTTAACCTCTCACCCAAAAAAGAAATAATGAATTTTTGGCTTCAAATACTTAAGTCTAAAAGGGAGAATCTTGTTAGTCTAAATCCAATTCTACTCCCCCAACCCCAGTTAAATTTTATTAAGCCTGCAATAAAGTTGGAGGAAAAACAAGTGAACTGTAGTAATTACAAAGCTACAGTAAAAAGTACTTAATCTTCATGTAACCATATCCTGTAGAAGAGTGAAATACTGTAGAGGCAAAACCCAATCTGTCAAAGTACAAATCAGTATTAATTACAAACCAAAGTTCAAAAGTATTCAAGTTATCTGAAAAAGGGGATTTTATATATATATATATTACATAGTTAAAACCACATCAAAATTTCAAGGTAGCCCTGGCTGGTTTGGCTCAGTGGATAGAGCATTGGCCTGTGGACCAAAGGGCCCCAGGTTCAATTCCAGTCAAGGGCATGTGCCTTGGTTGCGGAAACATCCCCAGTAGGGGGTGTGCAGGAGGCAGCTGATTGATGTTTCTCGCTCATCGATGTTTCTAACTCTCTATCCCTCTCCCTTCCTCTCTGTAAAGACTCGATAAAATATATTTTTAAAAAAAAATTTCAAGGTAGTAATAATGGTGTCAACAACAATAATTATTGATTAATCCTCCTCCATATCTGGCCTCAATATCTACCTTAAATGACATACAAGTGAAGCTATTCAAACTAAAGAATCAACATGAATTTCCATACAACTTATAGACCCAGCGTGGTGGCAAAAATAAAACCACCCTTCTCTCCCTATTATTCCCATTCTTAAATAACAGGTATATGAAAAGAAAGCATACATTAAGTCAGAAAATAGATCTCTTCCTATCTCTTTCCCCATCTCCAGATATTAAAAATTTAACATAATGCTCAAACACCCTTCCTTCAGTTCAGAATAGTTGTACTTCCAAACCTACCTACTCTGTTCACTTTACACAAGTCTGTGGTCATTATGAACCCAGGATTCTCTCTACTTATTCCAGAGACATTTTTTTTTTTGTCTATTGAAAAAACACACACAACTCTCAAAGGCTTCCCATCACCAAAAAGATAAAGTTCAAATACCTGTATATTATAAGTCCATCTTAAATGCCTTATCTCCACAATACTATAATCTTAGCTATTTACATCATTTCTCAAACAACTTTCATACTGCTAACCAAGCCTCTGAATAAAACGCTTTCCCTGAAACTTCCACCATCCAAACTCCTCTGCATACTTGTAGATTTGAGCTCAACCATGAGAGTACCCTACATCCCTAAATCCTATAAAGGTCAACAAAAGCACCCTTCTATGTTAATATAGACCAATAGTTCTCAACAGGAGTCATTTTTGACTCCCAGAGGACATTTGACAACGTCTAGAGACTATTTTTGTTGTCAACTAGGATTGTGAGCCTTGCTGTTGGTATTTAATGGATAGGTAGAGGTCAGAGATATTACTAAACATACTGCAATTCACAGGATAGCCCAGCATTTAGAAAAATGTATCTGCTCTATGAGGCTGAAAAATCATGCCACAGACCGTTTTCTCATAGTGTTTACATTCTATTTATACCAAAAACCTCTTAAAAATAGAAATATATGGGTTACCTGCAAATAGTAGTTATGGCTAAATCCATTATTGCATGAGATTACAGACAAGTAGACCACAATATCCTATTTCACAAATAAGTTCACCTAATACAATAAATTGTTTTCGGCTATGTATATTTCCTAGATTTTTATCATCTAGCATCAAATAGGTTAGTGCAAATCAATTGCTTTCAATTTCGTCATTTCATCTTTTTTAACTCCAGGAGTTGACAAAAACAATTAAAATATTTTAAAAAAAAAAAAAGGAAGGGAAGGAAATACAAAGTGTTTAAAGGGAGAAACAGGAGTTATTTTGAAGATGACAGGATTTGGTATAGCTTTCCCTTTTATATTTTTGTTCCCCAAATGTTCTAAGAGCAGGAACTGTTTAAGAAAATACTTGTGTGTGATTTTAAATTTACAAAAATAATTTAATTATTGGTTATACCACTTCCATCAACATTTATAATACTGCTTCAAAGTAGTAATGAGTGTTTCCATTATTATGGACAGAAAAAAAAGTTCTTCCCTTCCAATCCATTATCATGAGCCCTGCTATGTTTAATCAAGGCAGGGTAGGCAGAAGGTATATTTAGGATGGCTGTGGATGACATGAAGATTTAACAGGATTTATAAAGTAAACTATAACACCATATTATTTTACTAAAAAAAAAAAAGACTTGAAACAAGGACAGCTAGCCTACAGAGCAGCGGTTCTCAACCTGTGGGTCACGACCCCTTTGGCGGTCAAACGACCCTTTCACAGGGGTCGCCTAAGACCATCCTGCATATCAGATATTTACATTACGATCCATAACAGTAGCAACATTACAGTTATGAAGTAGCAACAAAAATAATTTTATGGTTGGGTCACAACATGAGGAACTGTATTTAAAGGGCCAGAAGGTTGAGACCCACTGCTATAGAGAGTAAACTGGCTCTCCAGTGAAAGTAAGTCACTAAGGAGCAAAGATCCTCTGAGCATATTGTTCAAGTAAAGCAAAGGTACTAGAAACAAACATTTAAACAACGTCCCATTTCCCACATGCAGATTAAGCATGCACTTTCATATATATATGAATTGCTTAACTTTTCTAATTTTTCAGTTTTAAAGACCAATCATCTTAAATTCAAAAATAAACTTCACATCCCAGCTGGATGACAGTGAGTTAGATAATAGAAAGGCATTACAAAAATCTCTCAAGAGAGAGTCTAATTTGCTGATAAACCCAACTCTCAAGTGCTAGTATATCAGGACACTATGATGGTTTCATAATTTTTAAAAAGTGAGCTCTTTCTAAACTCTTCTAGAAAAGTGGGCACTGATGTTAAGTTTTAGAATCTAGCTTTCAGATCCAGTACCACAGTGAGGTGATCAAATAAAATAAAGATGAATTTTGAACATTAATCAATGCAATTTCACTATTTTAAACACCACAACAGTTGTACGGTCTGGAACATTTCTGTCATCTAGGCTCAAAATAACAAGTCATTTTTCATTTCCTCATAGCCAGTCACAAATCCCCAGAAATTTAGCAATCTCAGATTTTGAATCTGATCCAGAAGTGGATGTTCAGTCCTAACTCTTCTTATAGCAGCAAAGCCATTAACCTGCAAGCTTGTCTACTTTACTTTTTAAACATTTAATTACAAAGTCTTCTTTACATACTTAACCAAAATTTACTTCCTCAAAATTCTACAATAACTCTATTTCCTCCCCTAAATGACAGCACTTCATTTATCTGCACACAATGCTCAAGACTCAATCGTTCTCTATATGCCTGATTAATAATCACTCCTTCCCTGATATTGGCAAACTAAAGTGCCTCCTAGAATGTCACCAAATAGTGACATCCATAACATAGTATTGTAGATGCAGATTGAGACTGAGGAGTTTATAATAAACTAAAGATTATTACTAATCTTCCATTTCTAGACACCATGACTCTATAACATGTAGTCCATGATTACCTTAGCTTATTTGGCAACTATTCCACATTGCTGACTCACACTACAGCTTCCATGTGATATTAGTTGTATAGAACTTGTCTTTTGTCCTTACTCAATTCCATCTTGCTGGTGTGAACTATCCGTCCACCAAAATCTTTTGAGATCCTGATATTGTCCAAGCCATTTATCACTTCATGCAGACTCACGTCACCAAACATGTCAAGGACAGTCGAACTACACCCTTATTTTACTTCACTGGAAAAAAATCAGAACCAACAATACACCACCATTATTTCTCCCTTC